ATAGTGAGCCGAGATCGCGCCACTGCTTTCCAACCTGAACGACAGAGCAACACTGCATCTCAAAAAAAAAAAGGTGGGGTGCGGTGGCTCGCACCTGTAATCCCAGCACTTTGGGAGTCAAGGCGGGTAGAGCGCTTGAGTTGAGGAGGTGGAGACCAGCCTGGTCAACATGGTGAAACCCATCTCTACTAAAAATACAAAAATTAGGCATGGTGGTTCACTCCTGCAATCCCAGTTACTTGGGAGGCTGAGGCAGGAGAATCACTTGAACCTGGAAGGCAGAGGTTGCAGTGCACCACTGCACTCAACCTGGGTGACAGAGCAAGACTCTGTCTAAAAACAAAAACAAAAAAAGGATGCGGGGAGAGAGAGAGAAGAAGGAAAGGGAGGAAGCAAAGAAACTTGGGCTTAGCACAGGGCCTGGAACTTAGCAGATACTCCTTAGTATCTGACGCTCCACTCACTGCAGGAAACAGGGCTGCGTTTATGCCATTATGGAAAGGTCTTTCCCTTTCCACGCAGGCACGAGAGGCCCTTTCCATGAGCCTTATACATGACAAACATACACATGAAACACATGTATTAAGGAGCACAGGGTCGTTTTGGCCCCATGGAATCCTGTGTGTGGCATTGGCCCAGCACGAGTCACCATAAAACACCATCAGGCAGGACTAGCATGTGTCAGCCCTGGGAGAGGCTTCTCCACAAGGCCTGGCCCCTGACCTTGAAGAGACGGTGACCTTGTCTGGTCATCCTGGAGATTTGTGGGTTGTGCTGCTTCCAACATTGGAGTCACACACTGCTTCAGAGAGCAGAGAGGATTTAGCCAAGGGAATACCTTAGGCTGGAGAAAGACAGGTTGTTCCATTTGCCAAATTGTCAAATAGCGTAAATACTACTGATTCTGCTGTATGGAAATATTATTTCCCAGTTGTCCTGCCTGCATTTCTTCTCCTCATGTTTGAATTTGGGCTTGAGAGGCATTCACAGATTAGTACATGTTTCACAACAGTTGTATATGGTGACCAAGGAACATTGTATAATATTACACAATTCATATTATTATGTTCCCTTCTTTCTTCCTTCCTTCCTTCCTTTTTCTTTCTTTCTTTCCCTCTCTCTCTCTCTCTCTTTCTTTCTTTCTTTTTTGAGACAGAGTCTGGCTCTGTCATCCAGGCTGGAGTGCAGTGGCACAGTCTCAGCTCACTGCAACCTCTGGGTTTAAGCAATTCTCCTGCTTCAGCCTCCTGAGTAGCGGGACTACAGGTGCGTACCACCACGCCCAGCTAATTTTTGTATTTTTAGTAGAGATGTGGTTTCACCTCATTGGCCAGGCTGGTCTTGAATTCCTGATCTTAGGTAATCTGCCCACCTCAGCCTCCCAAAGTGCTGGGATTACAGGCATGAGCCACTGAAATATTATTCTTAAATGTGCCTATGTAGGGTCCAGATAAAATATGTGGGAAGCATAGTACCAGCTATTTATGTTACTCTGTGGCTCTAGCTGTTGCTTTAAGAGATAAGGAAGGTTGTCACTATAACTGATAGCAGTTCACATGATAAAAATTAAACTTGTTACATATTTTCTGTAATAAAGATACTTGCCACATGTGTAGGAGCCAAGGGACAGCTTTCCCCTTGGTCCTCTAAATATTTGCTTAAAAAAATATTTTGTTCTCCTTTATAGATTTTGAAAATTATATTGATAGGCTTTCTAATTTTGAATCAATCTTGCATTCCTGCTAATAGTCCTTTTTGGTCGCACAATATATTTGTATTTATTGTGAAAAGAAAATTATGCTTAATAGATGCCAAAAGGCATTTGATGATATTCTTGTCCATGCATAGGTAAAAATTAGCAAGGGCAAGAAATACCCTTAATTTGATGAAGGTTGCTCATAGAAAACCTACTTAATGGAGAAATGTTTCAGCAAATCTAAATGAATAAGAGGCTGCACCCGGGTGTGGCGGCTCAGGCCTGGAATCTCAGCACTTTGGGAGGCTCAGGCAGGCAGATTGCTTGAGCTCAGGAGTTCGAGACCGGCTTGGGCAATAGAACGAAACCCTGTCTCTACAAAAAATTAGCCAGGTGTGGTAACTTGTGCCTGGAGTTCCAGAAAAAAAAATATATATATATTTGTTTAAAAAAAAAATCAACTCCCAATAGGAGGAAAAGGGCCAAGTGCAGTGGCTTTTCCCTGTAATCACAGCACTTTGGGAGGCCGAGGTGGGAGAATCACTTGAGCTCAGGAATTCAAGACCAGCCTGGGCAACACAGCAAGAGCCCATCTCTACCAAATAAATGAATAACCAGGCATGGCACGTTCCTGTTGTCTCAGGTACTCAAGAAGCTGAGGTGGGACCAAGAGGTCAAGGCTGCAGTGAGCCACGATCACATCACTGCACTCCAGCCTGGGTGATAGAGCAAGATCCTGTCTCAAAATAATAATAGTGATAATTTTACTGACAATTCCAGTTGCTATTGCTTCAATAGAGCAAAATTTTGTTTTTCCAGATTGAAGTCAATAAGACTAAGAACTACAATGACTCAAGAAAAGTTGTCTAACTGGCCGGGCGCGGTGGCTCAAGCCTATAATCCCAGCACTTTGGGAGGCCGAGGCGGGTGGATCACGACGTCAAGAGATCGAGACCATCCTGGTCAACATGGTGAAACCCCGTCTCTACTAAAAATACAAAAAAAAAAAAAATTAGCTGGGCATGGTGGTGCGTGCCTGTAATCCCAGCTACTCAGGAGGCTGAGGCAGGAGAATTGCCTGAACCCAGGAGGCGGAGGTTGCAGTGAGCCGAGATCGTGCCATTGCACTCCAGCCTGGGTAACATGAGTGAAACTCCATCAAAAAAAAAAAAAAAGAAAAGTTGTCTAACTTAGCATTACTATTAATTCAACACAAATTATATGAAACTTTTGCCTACAAAACATAGTGACTTTGCTGGAATACAGGAAAGAAAAATAAATGAGAATAATTTTTAAATTGTATTCGTCTCTACTGCTCTCTCTCAGTATCACCAGCTCATTAACAAAGCGTCTAGACATACACAATAATAATTCAAATCAAAGTATCAAAGTTATCTTTGATGTTTAGCTAACTTTCTGGAAATAAAAGCAGTAAGAGGGTAGAAGATATTTTCTGTAGCAGGGGCTTAATTAATGACTGGAAACATTTAGACACATGCATGTGAGCTTCCATTTCCACTCCTGGACCCTGGGCCCTGCAATGGTGGAGGCAGGTTGGTTCTCTGTGCGTCTACTTTCTTTTACTTATATATTTATTTAGAGACAAGGTTTTGCTCTGTCACCTAGACTGGAGTGCAGTGGCATGATCACAGCTCACTGTAACCTCAACAACCTCCCAGGCCCAAGTGATCGTCCCGCCTTAGGACCGAACTCAACCCCCCAAGTAGCTGGGACTACAGGTACTCACGCCCATGACCGGCTAACCTTTATATTTTTTGTAGAGATGGAGTTTCGCCATGTTGCCCAGGCTGGTCTGCAACTCCTGGGCTCAAAACAGTCCACCGGCCTCAGCCTCCCAGAGCGCTGGGATTATTGGCGTGAACCACCACACCTAGCCTGGACCTCCACTTTAAATGGACAGCTCTATTTAAATCACATAAGTTCTGCTGGCAGCTGCAGGTGAGGTGCCTCTTTGGTGGTGATTGAGGAGAACCTTGGAGAAGAGTCCGCTGAACTGGTGGGTGGAATTCACTCCCGGCAGGATGCATTTTTTCTGCTAGTCCCTCCCTCCCTCTGGGTCTTCATACAAGGTTTTCTAAGGTCCTAGTTACTGGCCCTGGGCCTTAAGAAGAGTAAGGCCGGCCAGGTGTGATGGCTCACGCCTATAATCCCAGCACTTTGGGAGAAGAAGGCAGGCAGATCCCCTGAGGTCAGGAGTTTGAGACCAGCCTGACCCACATGGAGAACCCCCATCTCTAAAAAATACAAAAATTGGCCGGGCGCGGTGGCTCAAGCCTGTAATCCCAGCACTTTGGGAGGCTGAGGCGGGCAGATCACGAGGTCAGGAGATCGAGACCATCTTGGCCAACATGGTGAAACTCCGTCTCTACTAAAAATACAAAAACTAGCTGGGCGCAGTGGCGTGCGCCTGTAGTCCCAGCTACTCGGGAGGCTGAGGCAGGAGAATTGCTTGAACCCGGGAGGCGGAGGCTGCAGTGAGCCGAGATTGTGCCACTGCACTCCAGCCTAGCACCTGGCAACAGAGTGAGACTCTGTCTCCGAAAAAAAAAAAATAATAATAAGATTAGAGCCAACTTTGGTAGAGAAAGCCCTAGACCTAGAAGTTTGTATCCTTTGAAATGGAAGATTCTACACTATATTTTATTTTTATTAATAGTCATTTTCTTCTAAACTTAATGTCAGTTGAAAAGTATAAGCCTTTACTTAAATCATCCCAATGCCTGACTTATAGTAAGTATTCAAGAAAAGTCCATTTCTCTTTTCTCTCACAGGTCCTTGGTAGTTATAACACTTCAGCCTCCAACTTCTTCTTTTTTTTTTTTTTTTTTTTTTTGAGATGGAATCTCACTCTGTCGCCAGGCCGTAGTGCAGTGGTGTGATCTTGGCTCATTGCAACTGCGCCTCCTGGGTTCAAGCGATTCTCCTGCCTCAGCATTACAAGTAGCTGGAACCCCGTGTGCCACCATGCCAGGCTAATTTTTGTATTTTTAGTAGAGGTGGGGTTTACCATGTTGGCCAAGATGGTCTCAATCTCTTGACCTTGTGATCCGCCCACCTCAGCCTCCCACAGTGCAGGCATAGCCACTGTGCCCAGCCCTTCAGCTTCTTAGTATGAGTGTTTTATTTATCAGACCACTTTCCTTCTTAAAGACAGCATAAAAGCACTGGATGAATTGTGGCAGAGACATAAGCCATGCTAGAAAGGGGGAAAGAGATGCAATAAAGCCTACAGTTTTTGGCTGGTATTTGCTCTACAGTATTAATGTAAACCTATTTAAATTTTTCTTTTTTTTTTTCCTTAAAGAATGTAATTGACCGGAAACCATACCCTGATGATGAAAATTTAGTGGAAGTGAAGTTTGCCCGCACACCTGTTATGTCTACATATCTGGTGGCATTTGTTGTGGGTGAATATGACTTTGTAGAAACAAGGTCAAAAGATGGTGTATGTGTCCGTGTTTACACTCCTGTTGGCAAAGCAGAGCAAGGAAAATTTGCATTAGAGGTAAATGTACTTGAAGAGGATTGTTCCAACAGTCCATAACTCCAGGTTGGGGAATTTACATTTCTGATCAATTATTAGTACAGTTATTTATAATTTAATCTGAAAGTTGTGCTACTTGGTTATTTTTAATAGAATTTTGGAAATGCCAATCTTGGTGTTTTGTTATTTTACAAAATAGTAATTAAGAGAATGTAAGAGTGAAATTTCTCTAGGGAATGGGTGGGAAAATATGTAATTATATATTTACATATCAAGTTACAAATGGATTAAAGTTTGGCCATTGTATTCAAAGTTTGGAGCTAAGGCAGTCTTCGGAGGTAGGGCTCCCCGTTATTAATTTCTAGTAATTTATGATACATTGGCTTACAACAGGATTCCTTTATGGGTTTCAGTATGAATTATAATAAAATACTTATTAGATGGTTATTTTGTTTATACTTTTATAGGTTGCTGCTAAAACCTTGCCTTTTTATAAGGACTACTTCAATGTTCCTTATCCTCTACCTAAAATTGATCTCATTGCTATTGCAGACTTTGCAGCTGGTAAAGTAAATTTCATTTTATTGCTGAATTGTAATAACTTTTTAAAATTTTGTGACTTTTGGTGAAAGAGTATGTATATATATCAATAAATGTTTGTATTTATTTTATGAAGGTGCCATGGAGAACTGGGGCCTTGTTACTTATAGGTATGTTAATGATGTATTACCCTACCTTATCTTTTCAATCACTGATTTCATAAGGGTCACCTTCCTAATCACAGTTGAGTAGCTTCTGCTTTATGATCTGGTGTAAATTTTTCTACCTTCCCCCACTTCGACACACATTTCAAGAATGCAGATGGACTCCCCTCCCTTTGGTGCTACTATCTGAGGGTGTAAGATTTTAAAGTGAGCATCTGGCATTAGTAGCATTTTTAGATATATTCTTGGCTCAGTTTCTCATTGCAGTGCCTTTCTTTCCTCCCAGTAGTTTCATAGTTATTTATCCAGCTTGAAGAACCATCCCTGATTTCATATCTGCTAGCCAAGTTTTTACATGTCTGTCACTACAACATAAATATGTGAGTTGTATAACTTTCAAAAGCAGAGTCTGTTTGTAAACAAGTTTTTGCCTTTCACTTTCAATTGCCTTCTTAAATGAGCTAAGTTTTAGACAGCCAGCTCAATGTTGTTTTTGGGACTGTGGAATTCATCTTCCTCCATCACTCCCCTCATTTAATGGAAGGACTTCCTTTTCTCTTCATCTGGCACAGTAATCCCTAATCCCTTAGACAGTGTTTTCCCAGAATTTGAGACAGCTAATCCTATCAACAAACTGATAACGAAACTTGTGTCACATCTTTGATATTCTGTTGTGTGAATTCTACTGGGGTAGTCTTTAATCTTTCTGTAACTTTTTCTATCCATATTAGGAAGTGTTTTCCTAATATCTCTAAAGCCTAACTTGACCATCTCATTTATTGTCTGAATCTCTCCAACTTATGCATGCCCACTTTTATTGTTTAAATTTATTTATTTTTTCTTTTTTTAAACACAGGGAGACTGCATTGCTTATTGATCCAAAAAATTCCTGTTCTTCATCACGCCAGTGGGTTGCTCTGGTTGTGGGACATGAACTCGCCCATCAATGGTTTGGAAATCTTGTTACTATGGTATTTAATATTTTTAAGTGCTCAAATATATTTATCTTCATCCTACTGAACATTACTTTGGCTACATAGTATTTCAAGTTTGGCTGCAACACTGTGCCAAAAAATAATTGAACGATAGAAGAGTTTTATTTTAAAAGATCTGCTTTGAAAGGGCTTATCAGAATTTCCGCATTGAACAAGAGCATATGGACAGTCTTTATTCAACAGATACTTCCTAAAGTGTTCTAGAATTTGTCTGTAAATGGGAAAAGTTAAGATACTAACTTGAGTGAAAGAAACAGATTCCTCTTAGGTATAGATGAATGAATCATGCAGTGAGATTCCAGGCTAACTGTAGTTTCTCGAGTCTTATTGTTAATCTAATTCATATCTGGAAGTAACCTGATGAATAACAAACTGATCTTTAATTAGAGAGAAATG